ATCTACTGAACTACTGTCAAGTGCTAGACTGCTTTTTAATAATAAAGTTGCCTATCGCGTTTGCAAAATCAGAAGTAAATAGCCTATAGTGTGTAGGCTACTGTATAATTTCATTCATGTTTTTTGATTGTAATGTAAACATTACAAAATGTCAGATGACATCAATCAAGTTAAATGTACGTCGCATTATTTCATAACATTGGACGTTATGATTTAGACATGATTACAATTTATCATAATAGCAAATTGTGTTCAATTATTTACAACCTCTAGGCTTATATATGTCCTAATAATTATGTGAGATATTGACTATGTCCTCATAGTAATCGCAAGAATCAACATCAACAGCGTCAAGATTTGATTGATTCATAATTAACACAATTTGAGGTTACAGTCGGGAAGTGTACTGTTAGTCAGATAAACTTGATATAACAGTAACTTACACACGTCATGAGAAATCCGAACCAGACACAGGACTAAAGATACGTGATAAATACACATCACAACACCTGAGTTCAGCTGGCAAACTAGCTCTTGTGGCAAGCTCGGCAATAAAACATAACGAAAAAAACAACAAGACTAAGAGAAACGACTGTTTTTAGGAAGTCTGCTTAAAGCTCTGGTAATCGAAAGCTATTATAGACATATGTGAGAATTATTGAACTGGTCTAATTATCAACAACGGATGAATGAACAGCACCGTAAAAAATTACATACCACAAGCCAGTGCAGCAACATACAATATAGAGACAAGTATACAAATACAAACAAGTTTATAAATAAGAGATTTACTTACAAGTCCACCAACAAGATCGCCAGGTCAGCATCGCAGTTACAATCCAGTGCAGCTTTTAAGCTCGCGCCAACGAGTGAAAGCCCGACCGAGTGGACTCTTGTCCGGTTTCTAGCACGGTCCGATTCTCTTTCCCTTTTTCGAAAAGTAGCTTCATACAGTATGATGTTGTTGATGCGTGTGACGTTGTTGCCGTAAACCATTTCGTTATTCTCACGCGCTGTGTCAGGGGCGCCACTCTCAAACTTGCATGGCTGGTTTTTCCGGCGGCGTCCCCCCCAAGCTTTCCTACCAGGATGATTCGCCCTACTATGACTTTGTTAACCACCAAAACGACTTTGAAGCTGTTATATTAAGGTACAGATCTTGCATAGAGTGCCTTTAAGACACAGCATTAACATAATAGCTAAGTTGTTTATGCTATAAGTGATTCACAGAAAGGAATAATTTTTGGAACTGAAATTTGAATTAAATTTATTAAATATTATCTATTATATTAATAATCAATATACTGGCCAGATCTACTTGTGGTCTGTGCATTTGCGTTTAGCTTAAAAATGCTTCACAGCACACCTGACTCAAAGGTCAATTTCTATGACCCAGCACGAGGAAAACTTGCTTGCCAACACACTCATTTTCTTGGAAAAATTGTTGACCCCATGTGCTCTGAGCAAACATCCTCAGGTTGCAAAGAACAAAGCGCTGCTCTCTCCAGTTACATGCAGAACACTACACGGTTATTTTCCAAGCTTGTGTCAATACAAAACAGAGACAAGCAAACGCTAGTGAACGCTAACCCCAAACAACTCTATCTATCCATCTCATAACCACTCATCACAATTTAATGGGCCGCTGATGCTTTTCATGTTGAGTATTAAAAGTAAGCAGTATATAATAACTCCATAATAACCAAGTCATAACAAACCTTATATAATGTTTAGATCATGTAGGCTACATTTAAATGTGAAATACCAAGTCTCAGCACACGCAAAACTACTTTAATGCACCTTAACTATCGATTTATGTTATAAAACTGGTAGTTCTAGATGCTGACTGTTAATAAGGAGCTCAGACTGTGTTAAAATTCACAATACAGTAGCAGCTATGACATGAAACATACGTTTAACAACCACTAATCTCAGTTTACAGGTTAAGGTAAGGACAGTTTATTCTAGCAGAAGATTGGCACTTCAAATTTTTGCTTAAAAATATATTAATATTCTATCCATAATATTTTGTTTTTATGATTTAGTACCCTAGCGGTTTAAAAAAAGGAATAAGGCAATTTAGGTAATATTTGCAACACAGTAAATTTAAAAGGGATGCACGATCGGTATCGGCCAATCAAAACAATTATTTTCACTATCACTATTAAAAACAGCCAATGATCAGGGCTGATTTATCCCTTCAATCAAAAGGAGGTGGAAAACGTGTCAGACTGCAACTCCTACTGTGTGTGTGTGTGCGTGTAGAAAATGTCTCGTTGAATTTAGAGCTGTCTACGTGACAATAACACATTAAGTTAATACCCCTTATTCAGAGCAGCGCCATGACAGGTATGAAAGTGAGGCTGTGAGGGATAGACTTACCGTGTTTCCAATGGCATCCGCTGTAAAAAGCTGAATAAAACTGCTAGATACTTACAATTTTCCACAGCTTACATTGTCGGGAGTTTTTTGTCAACTGAAATTTCTTGGAAAGATATTTTTTCAGTGTTTCATGAGCAGAACAATCCGAAAACACATTAAATAACAGTACAGGTCATTGAAGAGATGCATGTCTATCCCTCACAGCCTCGCTTTCATTCTCATTAAAAATCAAAGATGGCGCTGCCGTGAATAAGGCGTATAAATAGCAATGTTAAAGCAGGCTTTATTTGACCCTATGATTCACAGTCTGTGGTTCAAGCCAGGGTTGCCAGGTTTGTGGTTTCCCCTACAGAAAAAATTATTTGTAGCACTAGCATGCCTGCCATCCAATAATCAAAAAGAGCTTTGTGCTCTATTACAAAGTCTCAGCCTTTCAATTCTGTCCTTTTTATCACAAAAGTCAAACAATAACGGGTGTTTTGATGCTCTTATGTGACGTAACAGAGCACGGACCGTGAGGCATCTGTTCTGTGAATGAACATCAGAAGGTACAGTAGTACAACTTAAGCCTAGTTCACGCTACAGGATTTTGAGCCTGGTTTGCAAATCGTTGAGCTCGTCGACAGGTCAGGGTGTTATCGCATGCAAATCGCGGGGGATTAGCAGACGTTGAACGCTTGCCAATCTCTTAGTATGAAAGAGCTAACAACGCATCAAAGACGCTCGCAGACACGTCGCAGAGCCCTAAAAAAATATCTAGCATGCTAGATATCCAGAGCTGTCGCACGACTCAACCTCAGTGATGTCATGAGCTCCAGCCAATCAGAGCAAGGCATGGGTTGAGGTCACCGGTAAAATCTTATTTTTTCTTTTTTTGCATTTTTTCTCTCAGAGCAAATCATCACGCAAACTGTTTGAAGCACTAGTTTCTGTCTGACGGCCATATTCACTTGTTGTGTTCTTCTCTTCTTCGCTGGGTTTTGGCGCTTGTGCTGTTTTGCGTCATTTCCGGTTTGACTTATTGAGACAAAATGTGGTTTGTAGACAAGATAGAATCGTGGGGTGACAGAGTTGTTGTCAACTCGTGTTACCTCCTGTTGCGGATCAATCATGTTGTGTCGTGTGGTGTGAACAGCTCAACAACTTGAACACTCCTGATTTCACAGAAAACAAGTCATGGAGTGTGAACCGCACAATTCAGCCCGGCGTTTAAAAATCATGTAGTGTGAACAAGGCATTACTGAAATGTATCATGTCTCATGTATCGCACAATCAGGGTTTCAGCAGCGGAAAGACATCAATAAATACAGCTGTATATGTATGTTTGAATCATTTTGACATGAAGACGAACGTTTATTAAAACTACAGTATGTGCAACTGAGTTGTGTACAAACAGTTAAAAAAAATGTTTTTAGTGTAATTATTATATCAGAAAACGAATAGCAGAATGTAAAAGTTTGGGCTCTGTTGTTAATTTTAACTTTTAATATTATAGTTGTACCAAATAAGTAGGATCCCAGTATAGTTTATAGCATTAATCGGGAGATTTTATTTTTCCTTAAAAAAATCAAACTGTCTGTATCAGTAAGTATTCAGAAAAAAAAAATGTATCGATGCATCTCTAAAATTTAGTCTCAACTTTAAGCATTACATTTTTTCAATGAGACCAGGGTATGTTGCCAAAAAATTAGGGTGTGTTTTATAATAACTATAATTCTTCAGTCAAAACAAGTGATTAAAAACGAGACATAGCTATCTTGAATTATGATTTTAAAAATTAAAGATTTTTTTGTGAATCATGATAAATTGTAATGTCATCAAATCATTTATATTTTTATTGTCATATTTTGGTAACACTTTGCAATAAGGTTCATTAGTTAACATTAGTTAATGTATTTACTAACAATTAACAATACAATTGTTTGTTCATGTTAGATCTCAATGCATTAACTAATGTTAACAAATACAACCTTTGATTTTACGTATTAGTAAATGTTGAAATTTATATTAACAAAGATAAACATTTAAAACCCATATGTTGTGTGGAAGATGTGTGTATACATTTACACACATGAAATCTGTATTTTAAACGTATTAAATGTTATTATTACTTTCAGTTCATTATAAGCATTTCATTTCTAACCAGGCATTTATTAAAAATAAAATGTACCAACTTAACAGCAACTAAATTATGTTAAAATTTAGGAATAAAATGATAGATACACACACACCCCTAATATATATATATATATATATATATATATATACACACACACACACACACACATATATATATATATATATATATATATATATATATATATATATATATATATATATTTTAAAGAAGATTATTTCATTTCGGCTAACTTAGTTTATTGTTTTTGAACTGAAAAAAACTCCTGAAACCATGATAGACTTTAATGAGATCACACACCCAAACACCCGCACCCACACATAAACACGATCAACGTTCCGCTCAGACAACAAAATACGTAACGTAACTCACAATAATTTCTGTATGAAACAGAATGTATTTATCTACTGTAACAGGCAGCTGCTGTGTGTGTACACCGGAGCGTGTTTCCGGATGTGTGCATGGCAGGAGGCGGCCTCACCTTCTCCGCCGGGCGGCGGTATCTCTTCTGCTGCTGCTGGAACACGCAATGGCTCTTCACGAACCCATTTCCGTTCGCTTTCTTGTCTTGTTTCGTCCGGTGAACGGTATCTCCATTTAAAAGCTTACTAGCGGAGTTTTGCGTCATGGCAGGCCGGGGATGTGTTCTTGGTCTCCTGCTTCACTTGTTTAATCTCTGGAGTTCCCGTATCCTCCAAACCGTCGAATGACTAAAACACGCCCAACTCTTAGATTACTGAAAAGACCTCGCCCTCCACACACACTCACAGCCAATGGGGTTGAGGGACGTTTTGCGGGCGTGGTAGTTTGTTACTGAAGCCACTGGGGGCGTGAACCCACCAACCTACCTTCTGTCTTACGTCACATATTATGCGTTTTTTATTGGATACTAGATAAGCTCGAGAGTAATGGAAACTCTGACATAACAGGCTTACGTTAAATATCTAACTGGGTGTAAGCATTATTGAGATCTCTTTTGTGAAAAAGACTTGCTTGTTCTTGTCTATGATTAAAATAAGCTCAAGTCTTAAAAAATGATTTTAGAGTTTTAAAGTTTCAGCACCTCTTGGCACTTTTCATAAATAGGCTAAGGTACAACATTTGTTTTTGAAAGATTTGAAAGAAACACTGTGTGTTTTAATAATTAATTGATGTGATACAAATGTACTTTTATGAGTATATATAACTTTATTTTTTTTGATTGAGTACACAAAACACATTTTAAGTAATCAGAATTGTTTAATTGTTTTGAGTTTTATGAACTTTAAGATTTATTTTAATTTAAACAGACTAAAATTTAAGTAAAACTGGGCTGGGAATTTTATTTCCCAGCATGCTTTGCCATGACTCTCTAAAGGGAGAGAAGAACACTTTTTTTTGCTAGATTAATGTGAAGTGGGGAGTTAAGTAGTGTTTAATGTTAGCCAATAGAAGAGTCTCTTTTCTGTTGTTTTTTTTTTTACAGTTAGCTATGTAAAATGATTTATATTGCTAAACTCATTCAGAAATTTCTATGGTATGCTAATGCTATCAAAGCACTCTGTTATCATTTAGCAAGTTAGCATTTACTGAATTATTTAGTTCAAGCTAACTTATTTCACTATTTAAAATATTTAAATTGAGATTACATGATAATTGCGAATGACATGTGTGAGTTAGCTTAGCATAATATTTCAAGAGAAATTAAATGTATTAGCAGGCCTACAAAATAAAAACCTGCCAGTTCTGCTTAATTAAATAAAACTTTCTTACCATAGAAATTTTGATGAAACTGATTGTCTTCTCTTTTTTTTTAGTTTTGCCAGCTTATTTGGTTTACAGTGAAAAAAATATATATATTTCCTGTTCTTTATATAAAAAAAGAGTGCTTTTATTAAACCTTAGCAATAGCATACATTTAGGCATTATGATTGTCTTTGCTATATATTCTATCAATAGATAATAAAATAATAAATATTAAATATTAAATAAAAAAATATTAATCAAATTTAAAATCCATCAATCTCAGGTTAAAGGCTTTCAGATACAAGAGTGCACTCATTTCTATCATTATCCTCATTTATTTAATATAACATACAATTTGATGATATTTGACATTTTATTTGACATGCAGTGGGTTTTCCTCATGGGGGCTGCCATGTAAAGATCACGTGTCAAGCTGAATTTTACTCTCTTTGGTATCCCATTTGCTCAGAGAACATATTAATCATGGCTAACTGCATATTTGTTATTTCTACAATGGCATGCAGAAGAGAAAACTATTCCCTGATGCATCCAAGGAATCAGAATAAATCCAAGATGACTGCCAATAATAGCCAGCACAACATAAACAAAAATGTATATAAAAAATAGCCATGCTGTAACTCATGGTATGTGCTCATGGTTTGCATAACTACACTCTCTGTGTGTGCTTTTTTTTTTTCTCCCCAAGCAAAGTCATCGAGTTTATTGAAAGTGAAGGGATTGAGACTTTGCATTCTCATGATGCCATCAAATAATCATAATTGACACATGACATAATTTCCTGTGGCTCTATAATAGACTGATAAGCCTTAATCACGTTTACACCTCGGATAACAACATGGCTTATAAACACCTCTGTCTTCAGTGGTAGATTTCAAATCACATACATCTATACGCCACACACTGCCATTGAAGATGAATGGCAATGCTAACAGCTGTCTCTCTGTATTACAGATCTCCTCGGATTAGCTTTTGGCACCAAATGTTGGTTTGTAGCCAGATTCACAGACAAGCCTTAAACCTGGTCCCAGAGTAAAATGCAATACAGATTATGAACCATAAAATCACATCTTAGTAAGATATATAACTCAACATTTGAACCACTTTAAAGTAATAAGTTCTGATTTAAAACCTAGGTAATAAAGAGAAGGAAATGCTCCGAGGAATATATTCCAGCATGACAATGTCATGCATTTACTTGAGGCGAGGAAAATGTTTAAGTATCTGCTTTTGTTTTCATCATGTAAGAATTTGACGTTGTTATTGTGCCGGGTTATGGCCTGTAGGTTTAGTATATCGTACCGCAGTACTCAACATGAGTGAAAATGTCTCCCTCAATTTACGTAGGCCTATAATTTTTGTATTTAATCCTTATAAACCTCAACTTTGGACTCTTGCGTGCAACTTTAGCATTCTCTGTCTGTTCTTCTGGGTTACTTCCACTGATGGGCAGTAACGAGAAGTAACGCGTTACTGTAATCCAATTACTTTTTTCTAGTAACGAGTAAAGTAAGGGATTACAATAGAAAAAACAGTAATTAGATTACCGTTACTTCCCCGTAACCAGCCTGCGCTACTGCGTTAGTTAACCGTGATTTTGTTTAGTCAGACCGTCTCGTGACACGAGTCGTGCGTGAATAAAAATGATGTGCATAGTACGCAAGTCTCTCTCTCGCTCTCCTCGTCTTGTGCGCGATACGAAGTTTGGACTTTGGAACACAGTCTCGCATGCGCGCTCGCTCTAGATTCCGGGAGATTTTAACTAATTTGCGGTATAACTAGTCAATCACAAATGTGGCTCAACGGTTAGATTTATAGATATACTCATCTTTCAGGCATTGGACCGACGGGATTGACACTTCAGCGCGAGAAATCGGGGGTCAGGGTGTGTCGTGTGAGCGTGTGTGAGAGTTGGCAGCTCGGCTGCTCTCTCCCGCGCTCTAGTCGTCTCTCACTGATGTCGCGGCGCTCATACAGCATCCTGATCTGGAAACAGGACCCCCGTTGGAGAATGTCAAAATTCTACCTCAAATCTGAGCAAGCATGTCACGAGACAGCCTCACACGGTTAACTAAAGCAGCAAGCCGGTACAGGAATGTGAAACTTACTGAAAAAAACCCTGAACCCCCAGACATGACCGCTGCGGCTACATGCTGATGGGACATCCACTGTTTAACTCCGAAAGAAAGAAAAAAAAAACAGAAAAAAATTTGAAGCCAAAATACGGCATGCAACGGCATTTTCTGTTTTAGATTTGCTCCTCTCTGCACTTTACTGTTAAAAGACGTAGGGCCTAAGTGTTAATAATTTGTAATATAGTCAGGACTAGCGACTTTCATGATTTTGTTGCTGTATTTTACATCTATTCAAATGAAGGATTTTACAAAACATATTTATTTTATATGCTGGAATATGTAGAAATTTATATTAACAGAAGAAGGGCTGTCTTTATTTCATTAAAATATGGTGGAATGTGCAGAAAATAGGTTTAAATGTTCAACAATTTTCTTCTAGTCTGAGACTGTTGCATTTAATTTAATTTTTGCTCGATGCAATGTGCATAAAGTTAAAATATTGAAAGAAATAAAACAAGTTTAAAAAAAAGTACATGTTTAATTTGATTACATTTTAGATGATGGAATATGCAGAAAGAATAGAATTAGGCTGAAAGGTCTATGCTTTAGCGTATTCAGGTCATGCATCATGTTTTTGAAAAGTAACTTAGTAAAGTAACTAGTAAAGTAACTAATTACTTTTGAAAATAAGTAATCAGTAAAGTAATTGGATTACTTTCTTGGAGAAGTAATCAGTAATCAGTAACGAATTACTATTTCCAAGTAACTTGACCAACACTGGTTACTTCAGCATTTACAGTATTTTGAATATTAGGGTCCCGGTTCTGTCACTTCTGTTTATTTCTTGGTTTTGTGACAGAGCCTTGACACTCCTGTTTTGTCGTGTCTGTGTGCCTTGTTTCATGTACTTTCATGTCATGTTTCGTACTTGTGTTTTTTACACTCGCTGTGTGCTTTCATGTTGTCATGTTTTGTGTGAACACGTGGCTTATGAGTGCCCTCATGGCATGCATGTTTATTCTTGTTTTGTGTGAGCACAGATTTGTTTTACTGGCCATGTGCTTTTGTTCAAGTCATGTTTGGTGTGAGCACTCGATTGTTACCTGTGTTTGCAGTCCTGGTTTGTCGTTGTACACTCTGTTTCCCTGCTGTGTGCTTCAGTCAAGTCAAGTCAAGTCTTGTTTTCCCACTTGGGGTAGCTTTTGTTTGTTTTGTTTTACTTTATTATGATTAAAAGCCCATTATCTCTGCACCTGAGTCCTCGCTTCATCCCACGTACCCTACAGATTGTTGTAACACATTTAGAGGGATACTTCAGGATTTAGCATTAAGCTTTGTATTAGTAGAAACCCTGCAGTATTATCAAATTACCACGCTTTCCACCCTCATATCCCCGTTTTTTTGTCTGGATTTTGTGTCATCGGAGGATTTTTTGGCCCGAGGCTAAAAACTACAGTCAGTAGTAGGGTATGTCCCGCATGTCTTCAACCCGCCCATAGAGGGTGGGATCTCACTCACAGAATGTACACATAGTGTCAGACATCTTTTTTTGGAAGCTAAGCTAGCAGGCTCCATAGACAGTAAAAGAAATGGACTGAAGGCTGAAGCCCAATTATTGCACTTCCGCCCTGATTTCTGAGCGACTGCGGAGGCTCAAACTGAGCTTGACGACTGTCTGACAGTTGTAAATCTTCTAGTAGCTGTGCCAAGACAAATCTGAATCACCTAATTCCTCAAAAACGTAGAAATATTTTGTCCTGTTGCTTTTATGGACTCTCTATCTATGGGCTTCTCCCTTGACTTGATGCCTCCATGTCCCCCCGATTGCCTCATAGACAGTAAAAGATTACCTGCGAGCTTCTCCTCCTGTCTATACGGTAATGG